CCCACCGAGGCGGCTGCCTTGTTTGTTTACGATCGGTCTCGTGAGCCACACAAAATTCCTGTTACCGCGGAAACAGAACGGGGTATAAACGTCTCTGATCAGAAACGCAGGTTGACTGGCTCACGTTCACGTGAAGTCCCGGAGCTTCCCCGCGGTCCTCGTGTGTCTCTCCCGGGTCAGGGTGGAAGAGAGCGCGACCAGCCGCGCCTAGCCATCCGGGATTGGTGCTCCTCTTCCAGCCCGTCTCGGCTCACTCGCTCCTCTCCTGGATAATCTCCTTCCTAAGACCTCACGGCACCGCGATATTTGCGCGTAACCCTCGGAAAGCAGTGCCTTTTATTGCCCCCCCCACCCCCCCAAATGAAGGTTTTTTGGGGGGTTCACGAGCACCCCAAACACATCCCAGTGCTCCGCTCCCGTTTCGCTTTTTTTTCTCCTTTCGCTCTCTGCGCGCTCCCCTCGCTTCCCGTCCCCTCGCTCCTGAATCTGTGAGTGAGCGCGAGCTGCAGGAAATGCGCAAAACGCGTCACCCGCGTTGCCGGGCTTCTGCGCCGGATGAGAGAAAAGAAAGACAGAGAGAATCTGTGTGCGCGTGCGTGCGTGCATACATACGTGTGTGCGTGTGTGTGTGTGCTCAGCTGGAAGAGGTGTTTTTAAAAGAGGGGCGATGGAATTCACCCGCAGGCGTGGAGTAATGTGTATGTGTGAACGCGCGTGTCATGGCCAGACAGCCCACAGAGCCCATCAGTCCTCATGCATGACCACAGACAGCCTCACGCACAGTTAGAGAGTCTGAAGAGACAGGGCTGATATTGTTGAGTAAATCTGGTGGCAGCACTTTATAATACAGCCCGCGTTTTACCACACCCTGAATATAGGATGTGATTTTCAGGTTCCTAAAATACTACAGATTCCCAATGATACTTAAAAAAATGAGTCATAGTCAACAGTTGTTTGTTGTTTTTAAGATTAAATCATTTTAACACTGAACATTTTTAAGTAATAAAGCTTTATTAAAGAGTATCCCAACTGCCTTTTACACATATTTTATTTCATTGTTTGCAAGCTTTGATGGTTTCACAGGGAAAATTGAAAAGTTGTGACACTGTCCGTGTCGATTTTCTGTCAGACTTTCTGCCCTTCTCATCTGCTCTGTGCAGATTTACATGTCTTCCTAAAAAGAGACACAGACAGACAGAGAAAAAACAGACTAGGCCTATTTTAAGCAACGTGGAGCAGAGAGCCGCTTGGACACTTGTGGTACGTCTGGTAGAATTACAAGCATTGTCTTGAGCAGGTGCAGTCGGCTCCGGTGGTGATGAAAAGCCGGAACCATGTCTGTTGTATTCCTGGGGTTAGGCTTTATTATAGGGGATTTCATTTTTAACCTTAATTTATATTTTATTCCTTCCTAGTTAAATTTACCCTTTTTAATTTTTCATATTTATTTCCTATCTTATTCATAGCCTTTTCCTTTTTTGTTTTCTTTAGGTCACGAGCAGTTGTCCAAGCATTTCACTACATATCGTACTGTGTATGACTGTGTACGTGACAAATAAAATTTGAATTTTGATTTAATTAGGGTTCCAGGATGCCTTTTACAGTAATCTAAGCATCCCTTCTTACATTGTAGATACTAACAGAGCTACAGTCTGTATTATAAAGTGTTCCAGGCTTCATTATATTATAGAGTATCCCAAAGAGCACTTCTTATTTTGTAATTACACATTAATAGGTGTCTAGGCTGTATTTTAGAGTAGTCTAATATGCTTCAAGATACAATACATACTAATAGAGCTTCAGGCTGCATTATAAACCCAGCCTTCCCTATATCAATGAATACCCTGAAGCTCCTAAATCTCTTCTTCTTTTGTAATCAGACATTACTACTAGGGGTGAAGGCTGTATAATAGATTACCCTAAAGATCCTGTCTTATTTTTGTAATTACATGTTACTATTAGGGGTCCAGGCTGCCTTTTAGAGTAGGCTAACCTTCTCTTCTTACATTGTAATTACACCACAATAATAGGGCTCCAGGCTATATTGTAGAGTAATCCAATGAGCCCTTCTTATTATTTTATAATCAACCATTACTTTTATAGGGGTTTAGGTTCAATTTTAGAGTACCCTATCCCCTTCTTACCTTAAAGCAAACAGTTACCAGTTCTTCAAAAATTATATTCTGGGTTTTTTCTCTTGTCCCTTAAAAACTGCAAATTACTACTCTTTTGTTCTACTGTACTTATGGAATTTAACTAGCCTGAATTCAGCATGTTTACATAATAAAGGTTCTGAAATGTCATCATCAAATCATCACCAAATAACTTCATTTAACTAGATTTAGAGATTAATTCGAATGTTAACAGACTATAAAAAGTGATGCCCTTGGGTGGGTTTTATCCACATATACAGGGAGGAGGTAGAGCTTCCTTAAAAATCGTATTCTTTCATTACATTTCATGTGATAATAAAAAAAATTACATTTAATTATATTTTGCCCATTTTCTATAAAATTATCATATTCATCCAAAATTTCTATAGTTTCTTTCCCCAAATAGAAACTAGAATAGTTCCAAAATATTGCATGAAAATGCTCCAGAACCTCTGTTTTCACATTTCTTCTCACATGAAAGAGCTCTGAAAGTAAGAAACCATCTACACTTTTTCAAATTGCTGGAATAGTATTTAGTATCTTATAAAGTACTACAGTAATACTTGCTACTCCTATAAGAGTATAATAGATGTTTGACTGGTTTTTAAATCAACAGTGAGTGATGCAATTTCAGAAATGTCCCAAGACATGCCAGTACTCAAAACAATCAAATTTAGATATATATTCATTACTTATGCTGTTCTAAACTTTATTTAAAACTACACCACAAGCATAGCGCTGTTTTTGTCATAAATCTTCTGGACTCTATGTTAGTGAAGCCCTGACCTCCTGTGCACTCGCTCAAGCAACATACACATCCTGGAACTTATAACTGCAAAGTATCTGCTAAAACTCCAGCTTTTCCCTGCTGTCTGCCTCCACTAGTCCTTAAACAGAGTGAAACCATAATCAAACGTCATCATTTCTTCTCCTCCAAAAGTGCTGCTTGTTTATTCCTTTGTTGGTTTGGAATTGAAATATAACTCTTACAATTACAGCTGCTGAAAACATAACAAACACATCTTCACAATGAGCCTCTTGGCCATGTCTTTTTTCATATTTTTTCCCTATGGAGGAATCTGAGCATCTTAACCATGCAGCCAGTGGTGGAAGAGGTACCCAGGTCTTATCACAAGCAAAAGTCTTCTTTTGGATACTCACTTAGGCCACAGTGGCCTCTATCGTATCCTATGCCTAGTATCCTTGTTTGTCACATCAACCCTATGTGTGTCTTCCTACTTCCATTACTGTGGCCTGTCTGGCAGCTCCATTTTCTATACCCTTTACCCAATATATCCACCATCCCTCCTCTTCACATGTCCAAACTCTCTCAAGCTTACCTCTATATTTTGTCTCTAAACCACTCGGTCTGAGGTGTCCCCCTGACATACTCATTTCTAATTCTGTCCAGTGAAAACAGTAGCATCTTCCACTCCACTACATCCAGCTGGGTCTCCTGTCTGAAATAATGTATTATTTATTTATTTAGATATCAAATTATGATCTAGTAAATTAAATAGAATGATGAGTAAAATGTCATCATATCATCAGAGACTGTTTATTAACGCCTATGCAGTTTATGAGCAGGCCTGTCCAACTGCGCCACCTGCTGGTGCAAGAAAAGTATCACCGGAAGGATGACGCTATCAGTCGTGATGTCACTGAACGCTGTGTTCAAGTGCAGCTCGGAGATCGTTGCCATTTTGCAATGGTCAGGAGGAAAAAGGTCGTCCAGTCGTCTGTGCTGGAAAACCATTGCATGTTAAAACAAAATGCTATTCTGATCTTCTCGCGCTTCACAGGATAGTGGATGGTTATAATGACTCACGCCGAACCAAGATAAATGCCAAGAAATATGAGTCAGTTGTCTCAGAAATACTACCCAAGTGGTGGAGCCAGACTAAAGTTAGAGATGATGGTTTAAAACTATATAGACATGTGGCACATTAGAATTAAAAGTCTCTCTCTCTCTGTTTCTTTCTTCTTCTTCTTTTTTTTTTTTTACTTAAAATGTAGAATACATTAAAAACCCCAATAAAGGCAGTAGTGGTGCAGTAAAGTCCGGTTATATTACTGTATAGTGGGTGAATCCCTATTGAAGTATTGTGTCAACTACTGCATAGTTTCAGCTTTAACAGATTGTACTTACATAAACGGGTATAAACCAGTGACTGTAGAAAACAGTCGTTGGTTTTCTACAGTCATTGGTATAAACGCAAATTGAATTTAATGTTACCACTAGGTGGCGCCGGTGTGCATTTACTTTGTTAAATAGCGTTTCCAGAAAGTGAGAGTATTTAAATAATATCTATCCATATATGTAGGCGTAGTTTGCATGTATACAGGTGTATAAAAATATTTGGCATACAAAAAAGGTCACTGTGTGGACCGGAATCGAGGCCATTTTGCGGGAAAGTCAGGTTAAACATACTGATCATAAAAGTAGGCAAAAATAAACGAATACTTACGGAAAATCCAACACGATTATTAAACGTATTCTGCACGGTTTTAATACTCAACTGGTTGAAAAAAGGGATAGTTTGAGTTTATTTAAGCAAAGTTTTTATTTGCAATTCTATATGTATGTTTTTCCCTTATTTGGGGTTTTGGATCAATCAGAAAACAACAAAGCTTTGATAAGCTTTATATGCTTTGATAAATCCCTTTAGGTTACCCCTTAAGAACACATTTTAGGCTGAAGCCACATGCGAGTCATTTGCAATCAATACTAGTAAATACTAGTAAATACTAGTATTTACTGTAATCATAAATTGTGTTTTTTTTGTGTGTGTTAACTGTTTATATGACAGGTTTTTGGTTACGGATCATTACAAAAGTATTCATAACAGTGATATAATAAATAACTTTATTTCTATAAAATACCAAAAAACATTTATTCAGCATTAAAATGAACATCAAGTAGACAGAACATGGCTACACAGTAAATTTTAAATAACGAAAAAATGGCAAGTTGACAAAAAACGGTTATTAAAATACAAACAGACAGGGAGCAGGCAGAATTCAGTGGTGCTGACTGATTGTCTACAGTAAACATTTAGGAGTCCACCTTGAGCCTCTAAAGGAACAACTAGACTGATTTTTTATGACACATAATTTGAGAAAATGAGTGAGAATGAAAGTGATTCGCTCACTGGCAGTTTTCAGTCTTCTCTTTGGGGGGTCCCTGGGTTTAAAGTCCAACAGGAGTGCATTGCTTGATGCGTGTTTAATTATGTTCATGACAAACTGGGTCAGCAGATGTGCACTCACCCTCCAATAACGCAGTTTAAATAAAATCGGTGGTTACAATTCAAAATTTGTACCTGAAGACCACCAAAAAGAAAGAAAAACACCCAGAAAAGGTTAACGTAAGCTTCGCCTGTGGAATAATATTGCGTTTTATACGCCGAATTTATTGCAGCGCAAATCCTGACCAGCGTTTGTCCACACACATTCTCCTCACAGTTGACCGACGGCAGAGCCTAAATGTTTATTTCACTTTTAAAAGTGTCAGACGTCCAAGTCGGAGTCACTGTCCGTTACTGAGAGCAGAGTTTCTCCATCCGCGCGCTCTGTGCTCCCGTCTGGACTACAGCCTCCTCTGCTTAGTGCACGCGCTCTGTCGGAACACATGTGGTGGTGCTGCAACCTATTACTGAAGAGGGGAAAAAGTAATTTTATCAACTTAGGTAAAGTAGAACACAAAACTTATAACTAAAACTGAAATTAAATTCAGCCTATGAACTAAATTAATGCCATCTCCGTCCCTGTCAAACTGGAGTCTATCCTTGCATGATGAGCAATTTGTGCCCATTCATGCATGCCTTGCTTTGCCTTCATCAACACGGTGCTTGACCCGCACACTGACCCTGAAGTAAATTGTAGTGACAGAAAGGTGAAGAAAGACCGACTGTGCAACTGGAAAACGAAAACCTACAAGCTGCAGGGCGTGCGCTTTTACGCATGAACGGCCTTTTTGCGCACCCTTAGCTAGAGTACTGCCCAACTGAATAGTAAGTATGAACAGTGGTCTCATCACACTGTTGTTGTGATTTAATACATAAATAAAACTGAATGAAACTGAACTGAAATGTGATATAGATACGGTAACTTGATACGAAAAAAATCTCCAAATGCACTCGTGCATTTATTTAAAAACAAAAACAAAAGACAGACAAACAAACCTCAGTGCACCTTCCAAGGGCACAGCCTAGTTCTAGTCAAATCTACTGACCTGTTTTTGGCTGCTGCCGCTCTGTCTCTCTGTCTGCGGTTTTTGAACCAGTTCCCTACTTGGGTCGGTGTCAGTCCGGTGGCGTGTGCCAGCTCCCGTTTCTTGCCCGGATTAGGGTACGGATCCTGCAGGTACCACTCTCTCAGCAGGCCCCTGGTGCGCTCTTTAAAGCAATGTGTCTTCTGCTCTCCGTCCCAGATGGTCCTGGGTAACGGGAACTTCTTCCTCACGCGGTACTTGTCCACGGGTCCGAGCGGCCGCCCGCGTAGCTTTTCTGCTTCTCGGTAGTGCGCTTCGAGCCACATCGCCTGCAATTTACCGTGCGAGGCGCGCGTGAAGCGGTGAGTCTCCAGGATGTGATAAAGCTCTCGGAAACTTCCCGTGTGGAAGGCTACTACAGCGCGAGCCCGCTGCACAGATTCGTGTTCAGAAATAGAGTCGCGGCCGTCCGAGGTCACCGGGAGCGACCAGAGGAAGCGGGCCAGCCGCTCGATGTCTCCTGTCTCCTCCAGGGTCTCGCACACGCTGGCGATCTGCGCAGCAGAGAAACACAGTCCCGGGAGGGCAACGGGAGCGCAAGCCACGGAAGAGTCATCCGGGGACTGAGAGCGAGCCAAGACAGGGGACCCGTCCGCAAAGTGCGGCAGGAGGAGGCGGGAGGCTGAGAAAAAGTCGAGGGGAGACCTGAAAACCATCTGGCTCACAGACTGAAGCCAAAAAGGAGGCGGAAAACGTTCCGTGAACCATCTGACAGAAATCTGCTTAAATCTGATTTTTAAACTCACCTGGGAGTCAGGGAGGGACACTGACTCTGACTTCTCATTGGACACCCGGGAGCTGATGCGGGGTTGTCATGGCATCACTGTCAATCAAACACAGCTGGATGATCTCTGGCACTAGCTGTACAGATGAATTCACTTCGGTTGCATTTCTAATGTGGACAGTTGATTGTGTTTTCCCCCTGTAGATGGAGGCTGCAGTGCAAAAACAAAAACAGCATCAATTTTTTAATCTGTCAGTGTTAACAGAAGAAGAAGAATAGTCCTGTCACTGTACATGTACAACAAAATTATGGGTACTCCACACCAACTGTGCAAGCGTAAAATAAATAAACAAATAAATATAAATAGCTTTCTACAGTTTTCAGTGCTTTTGAATTTCTTTGTACTATTGCAATGTGAAGGTGTTGTGTGTGCAAGCTGTGTGCCAACATAGTAAATATAACAGTTTATAAAGAAAGAGGGAAACACTGCATGGCTCTGACGGCAGAAGGCAGAAGAACTAAAAGCAAAGTCCTGGTGGAGAGTATATAGTGCACTGTAATTCTAAATTTCCATGGTGATTATGTTGAAAATTGCAATCAACACCTATCACCTCAGTCTCATAACCTCTCTCTTCCTGGCAGTAAGCTGCTTGCATCATTAATAGCAGTAATGCGTAGCGTCCTGTTGTGATTGGGAACAACATCAGAACCTGAAAGCGTATGTTTCTCTAAGTGGTCTCCCTCCACTCTAATCACTTTTCTAATCATTTTCCAATATCCATGAGTTTAGAGATAAGCTGCTCCATCTCCATTCTCTTACCTTGGATTAGCATCGGGTCTATGCAGCCTGCTAACATTAGTGTAATGGAGCAGTTTATTCAATCAACATTAACACATTTTAGCTGCCCTGGGCCATATGCTTTGAAGTGTGGCAACTTTTGCCCTTCTGTGTATGTTTGTGCTTGTATTCTTTAAGGTATGAGCACATAAAACTGTTTAAACTGTCATACTGTGTTGATTTTCCTCCTTTTTTAGGACAATAAACAAAATTGCTGCAGTGGAGAACATTATATTTTAGCATGCAATGCAAGGCTAGAGTTAAGTTTGGGGTTGATCACGATGGTCAGAGTCCAGTAAACGAGTGTAAATAAGTGGAACGTCCTCTTGTATGTGCAAGCTCAAGTACTTGATCGAAACAACAAAAACTATCTTTTATATCTTTGCTGGACACCTTCTTGCACTGTTCTGTCACATAGAAACACCCTCTAAATACCCCCATGCAGATGTGTGGGCTGTAAAAAAAAAATGGTGTCACTCGGCTTAAAAGGGTTAATGCCAATTACCCAAACAGACAGATGTCCCTGCACTGTGATGTGAGGGGTTGTGTGCCAGTTTTTCACCCTGAGTGACACATATGGTTCTGGTTAATCCCTAAATCAAATCAAGTAAGCCTAAAATAATAAATAATCCCAAATATTTTATACATATTAAAGAATCTAATGCAAAACAACAAGGAAACAATAGAGGAAGGGCTGTGAAAAATATACATATGTTCAAATTTAAATTAATCCAACAAATAAACTGTATGCAAGACATTTCGACATAATGGGTTTTGATACTGATTTTACTGAGATCACCAGGGTGGTCATTCAAGCCTCGAAGTTCTCTAACGGCAGACGTTAAAGAGGACATGAAACACTAAACAGGTAATCACCAATTTAAGAAAGAAGTGCTTAAAGTTTACATTTTGAGAACATGTACGGAGCCATCTTCTGTCAGCACGGAACGTGACGTCATGTGGTTGGTTGTAGATAATAGACTTACATTAGTTTATGCTAGCTAACCAGGGACAGAACTGATTACTCTGAGGAAAATAATAACAAAAAAAGTAAAAATCTAAGAATCATTTTTGTGCTGCAGTGAGTTTTATGTTGAGAAACCATTTGACTGTTCACAAAGTAGAGATTAATAGCAATATTTTGTAGAAATGTTAAATGAATAGAACATAAGAATAAAATACAATAAGTACAACATAAAAGAATTACAATAGCTCAACAGGGTAAGAAGTACACAAAAGAAAGGGCCTTGATTAAAAAGAAGCATAAAAAATAAAGTTAAAATCCAATTAAAATACAAGACAACACAATAAAATGATCATATAAAGTATAGAGTAAAATTAAATAAAGCAAACTTTATCAGTAAAAATGGCTTCTAAATTAAGTAAAAGCATGAAATACATAGCATCCAAGTGGCTCAGAGTGCAAATAGTGTAAAGTGTAGTGACAGCGCAAGGTTGAAATAGCATGTTAACACAAGAGAACAGATAATAATCTGTTAGACAGATGTGCTGCATTGTCCCGCGCTATTGCACAATGTATCACAGATTTCCTGCATCTGTCCTTGTGGCAGTCTGCTGGAGACAGTGTCCAGGAAGTGCTGCAGTTTATCATTTCTAACCAATTTAATTAAAAATATGAACATTTCCCGACAAGATATGTGATGTTGTGCCAGGTAGCATTTTTTTTTTTTAAATCTTTCTTTTTATTTTTTTCCCCTATGGAACACATTTCTCCCTTAATTTTGTAACATTCAGGAAAGTCTCATTTCCTACAGTGAAAGGATGGGGACAAAATGAAAAAATGTTTCATTCACTTTCAGCTAGTTGCACAATGAACGATCAATATGTTTTGTGATCACTTTTTTGTAAGCATGTATTTAGTGAAACCATGTAGCACTGCAAAGATTATGCAAACAAAGAACCCACGGGAATCAGAAGAAGAGGAGAAAAAAAAACAGAAGAGAGAACTAGACAAGGAGAAAGTTCAGTAAGCTTTTAAGATCTTAGACTGCTTGGGCCTCCATTTTTCTTTTGCCCTGTAGATACCTGCTCTGGACAGCTGAGGGTAAGCAGCGTCAACAAAAGTAATGGTCCACAGTGGTGGACATAAAATCCTGGTTGGAAAAAAACAAAGCCAATGTGGTAGTGCATTAAACCTACTTCTATCTGAAGGCCACCAGATGGCGATAGGTGTGGTTGCAAAAAGATATCTGGTCCTATATAAGTCTCTGGGAATAGGCTTTCTTTCTTGACCTTTCCTGCCGAGTTCAAGGACTAAGTCGCTTATGTTGGGTCATTTTGGAAAAAAAAAAGTTTCATAAATGAGGAATAGCCATGCTATGTCCTGCTCACTCATTGGCGAAGTACTTTTCAAGTCATTAGCCAATGAGCAAGTGGTTTTACTATCAGAACCACCCCTCCTTGTCACATTGGTATATCTTGAGGCTTTGCTACAGGACTTCACAAGCCGAGTGACAGCACGCTATCTTAGTCTTTTATATCGTCTTTGGTGGCATCCAACGTCTTATCAGCCTTCAAGGCAGGTAAAGGTGCATATTTCTGGGCTTTATGCAGCTGCAGGTATAGAAGGGAAATGTGTAACATCACAGACAGATTGTCTCTAACCATTCTCTAGCACATTCCTGCAAAATGTAGTAAAAGGTTTTACCAGAGGGGCATCAAACATAAGGTTCAGGGACCAGAATTGGTCTAGCAAAGACTTCAATCCAGCCTACTGGACATCTTCTGGAAACTGTAAAGAAGGGGAAACGTTTTGGACTTTTAAATGCATTTTCATGTATTTTACAGCTTGTCCTACTGACAAGACCTCTCCCACAGCCAACCGTACTGCACCAAAGTAATGCAATAACAGATAAAGAATTAAATGACGGAAAAGTTGTTTTTTCACTACAATTGATTTTTTTTTTTTCACAAAATGCCCACAGTAAAATAAATAAATAAAACACAATATTTTCTGTGAATTAACAAAAATGTCATCTTATAATTACAATGGGCAATGGGCTACTAAAAGTTTTTGCGTAATTTTGAACAATAGTATTTTACAATTAAAGCCCAAAGAATCGTGCTGACAGATTTATTTCATTAACTACAGCAACATTTCTTTATCATGTGAAGAAAACTGAGACGTACTGCTGAAATTGCACTTCTTTTTTCTTATACTGATATTCCAGAGATTCAATGTGCAGTTAAACAACTTTACACAGACAGAAACAGGAGTCTCTCTGGTTTAACACAGTCTGCAGCTCCGGATAACATTGGTCATGGTCAGCAGTGATGAGGTGCTTAAAAGTTATGAGACCACGATCATTCAAATATAGGTGAATACGAGCTCCAGTTACATAAAACTCCACATGATTTTTCGGCCAACATCCACTTAGGTTAGACACAGAAGGGCTAAAACAAAAATTTGCATTTAATCCAAACAGTGTTAGGGAATGTAACTCCATGCAATTTAAATGGAACAAGATTCTCCTCTAAAGTATCATTACTTTTATTCAAACATGCAGATGCTCCAGTCAGATTTCCCCACCTGTATTTCACGACACCTTCAGGTGAAGATTCCCAAAATTAACGAGTAAAGTAAAAATAAGTTATCAAACTGGCAGAAGAAGCAGAAATGGAAGACAGGAAGGGATGGCCAATTAGGGATTTAATAAAATAAACTTAGGCATTATTAAATTAAAATAATAATGATATATACACACACACTCACAGTCATTTCAAAGCACTGAATAAATACATAATTCCCATTTATTTCCTGGCCCTCTTTAAGGCTATTTTCTATTCTTCATTTACACACATGTATTGCAGAGGATGTCTTGCAATCATCTGTAACTATTTTTGTGGTGATAACATCAGCTTGTCAATTATTGCCTAATTTCTAAATGCACTTAATGCACAGTTTAAGACACAATGAAAGTGGTGTAAAAGTTTTGGCCAAGAAAGCTGTCAGTTCTGTTTACTCATCTTCACAGACACGCACTCATCATGTGGACTCACTCATTCTGCTCGACTCGAGCTCGAGTCTGTGGATGCTTTTGTTTGCAGGCCGTTTTATCTGTGTTGTAACAGCAGAACAATGGACTCACACAACAGGCTTTGAGCGACAGTCACGACCAGAGCTCCTCCAAGTTGAAAAAACATTCTTCTGTGGAAGCAGGAAGGACATGCCAAACATACTTGAGGAAAGATACTCAAAGTGTATGTGTGCATGCATGATGAGGAAGGAAGTGTGTTATAACGGAGACAATCATATTAATTCAGCTGCACCTCCACCAAGCTGCAGGGTAATTATCAGGGGTGGGGGGAGGAGGAGGGAAAGCAGAGGTGGCTAAAACCGGGTGGATGACACTTCCAGGGTGG